CTTGCTTCAGTGTGGGTGCTGGCTGCCTTTAATAGTAGCAACACAGGGCATTTCTGTGAGCCTCCTTTAAAAATGAGATGGCCTCTGAAAGGCCTGAATTTAGAAGCAGATTTATTATATAGGCTGGAATAATGATTGGCTCTCACCAGTGTCACCAGGCAAAAGAGAGCTTTCTCTAGATTCAGTAGTGGAATCTAAAAACAACAACAAAAAAACCCAACCACCACCAACCAAAAAAACACACCAAAAAACCCAACAAAAATGACACAAATGGAAAACAACCTGATAGCATGACCTTATCCTGCCCTGTCACTTGATCAACTTTCATAACCACAGCAGTAATATCTTACACAATACAACACTGCATTGTACTGTATTCTATCTTGCACTATCTTATCTTTTCCATTTTAGCCTTGTTCATGATGTTTTCAGTCCTGACCCCACTGTCTCTGTCCTAGAAGTAGCAGGGAGACTAGTGGAGTGGAGCTGCTAGATGTAAGAACACCCCTTACCCAGCCTGATCCTGACCCCACCACACATGCAGGCTGATGTCCCAACCTGGCCTTAGGTTGTCCCCATCCCCATGGAGGTGCTGATGGGAGTAGGGCTGCCATAAAGGCAGTCAAGGTCTGAACAGGGCTTGAGTGCTGATCTTTTGGACATGACGATTTGGGTTGTAATGACATTACTGGCAGGTGTGGTGAGGTGTTGGCATCAGTCTGACTGGTTTAGGGTGCTGACCTCAAGGCAGAGGAATGCTGCCAGCACTACACATTGTGATTACCACCTCAGCAAGGTAGCTCACGAGGCATCACATCTCTGGATATTTCCACTGTGTCCCTGCTACACAACACTCTCATCATGGGGCATTTGGACCCCCCACAGGGATAGGGGTGCAATCCCTCTGTGCTGCTGCCTGCAGGGACAGCCATCAGAGGTGATGGTGTGGAGGCCACAGGGGAATCTCTGAGTCTGCAGGCACATCATCTGTTTGAGAGATGCCACATCCATATTCCTCTATGCATGATGAGGGTCTAGCAGGAACTATGTTCAGTATTTTTCTGTCTTATATGAGGAAGCAAACTGCTGGAGGAAGAAGATCTCACCCATGTGGAGTCACACATGCAAATACTCAATATGAAATGGATGCAGGGACACATATTTTCTTCTCTATTTTGTTGTTGTTGTTTTTTGGGTTTCTTTTTTTTTTTTTTAACAGAGTTTCCTCTTTTTGTTTCTGTCTTAAAGTTCTTTTGCTGGAAATAATGAGAACGACAGCATGTTTTTTACCCACAGACCTCAAATGAAATTTGGTGTTTCTGAAAGCAAACATGTGGGTATTTCCCAAAAGTTTCTCTTAAGGATGGATATTTATACAACGCTTCTCATAATAAAATTCCACTTTTCTTAACCAACCTGAAAAAACTGCTCACATGCCATAGAAAAACCTTGAAAGGATGGGGACAGCAGGTGCCCAACAAGACTAAGACTTTGTACTCCTGCATCCTTAGGTCTGAAACATGCTTGAGAACACATGAGATTTGTGTCGCAGAGAGGCACATCATTGCAGTGGACATGCCAAGCACGGACCCAGACCAAGGTGACAAAGCTGGGACATGTGGCATAGGCGAATGACGTGGCAAAAGTATTGTGGCTTGTCACGTGTCACTGAGTAGCTAGTTGTGAAATACACTGTTTAAACAAACTGTTGTGTACATTTCCATGTCAGTACCTGTCTGTCCAGATTCTTAATTTTAAAATGCAGGTCTTAAGCATATTTGAATGAGTCATTATTTTTGGCCAGCATTGACAGTAACTGGAAAATCTAAACATTATTGCACTGTACGTCCCCTGCACTCCATAGATTGCACAGCAGTTTTTCATATGGGTTGCATCCTATTTCTGCTCTGTCCACACCCTCTTTATTCACATCTGAGAGTATTCTTTTTTTGTTGGAAAGATCTCTCCAACTCCTGCTGGATACATGCTTTCTTCCCCTCGGTGCAAAAACCCCTCTGCATAGTTTCTCTTTGAGCAAATGGTGACTCCTTAGAGCTGGCAATTTGGTTTTGTTAATTTTATACATCAGTGCTTGAAATGGCATTGCAGCTTTTGAGTGCTCACCTTTAGGAGATGGAGCCAGGGCCCACAAAAACCCTTCACACCCATGTCTGCTTATTTATGTATGCCTGTAATAGGGTAACTGTACAACATGGCATTCAATCATTTAGAGAGAATTGAAAGGATATTACAGACAGGCAGGAATTGCCTGATTCTGATACCACTCAACCAGAAAGAAGTAGTTGGAGCCTCTAATTAGCATGTCCTGCACTTCCAACAGCATTTGGAACAGCCCACCTCTGAGAAAATAAGTTGATGAAATCATTGAGAGTATCTCAATCTTCTCAGTTTAAGTCCAAAATGTTCAAATAAGTCTGTGAAAGAGAAGGGGAGCAGGATGAAAGAGAGGAGACTCATGGTGGCCATTCTGAAGGAAAAATGATGCTGAACCACTTGAGGAAGGAAAAGCGTGCCCAGATGCAGGTGGAATACCTGGAGTGAGGGAGTGAATAGAGAGAGGAGAAGGGAGTCACACAGTCATCCTGTGGGGAAGAGAAAGGCAGGAATGCAGAAGTATCTGGGATGTGCCAGGATTTTGATCTTGAGGTAACCTTAAGACATACAGCCTGGTACTTCCATGCTTTGCCTTTGGTAGAACAAAACTATGAAGCTATAGTCTCTTTTGATACCACAGAAAAAGACCAGCTTCCCTTTCCTTAGAAATGACCCTTGCCAATTCTCTCCCTGTTTTGCTTAATCAGCTCTCTGTAAGCCAGCAGCTGAAACAATCTTTTCCCTCCAACAATGAACCACTCTTCATATTTTCAATACTTAGTGTAAAGAGAGGCACGAAGTCTGCATATCATTCAGAGTGTAGAGCATGAGCTTTAGCAGGTTCCAGCAGCTTTGGTGTGACTTGCAGTGAGAAATCACCTTTCATATAAGCAGCAATTAAATAAAAATCTTTCAAATAAGCAGCAGTTGCCAATGATGGAATGGAAAAAGAATTGCAGTTACATGGTCAGCCATATTCTTACATTTCCCTCCATTTCAAGAAAAAAAATATGATTAAGAAACAACATTTTTCCATGCTCATTATTTTGGCACCCTGGCAAATGTATAAGCAACAAGTGGGTGACTATACAACACAAAAATGTGGACTTCTGACAGGAATTTCTTGCTTCTGAGAGGAAGCAGCCTAATGCTGCCACTAATTACCAGAACACCAGAAACAAGGGGCTGTTAATGAAACTTAAAATTGCCATGTAAATTGAAGGTGGTGCCTTTATAAAGGAGGTTTTAAATATTGCCTAGGAAGAATTGACTATGAAGTCCAGGATGACAGAAATAAAGTAAGAATTAATAACCCATGGTGAAGATAATGGATTTCGGGATTTTAAAAAATTTTAAGTGTCAGCTAGGGTGTTAATGAACTCTACATCATGGGGAGGGAGGAAGGAAACAATACAAATTTCAGGCCTGCTTAAGATAAACATAATGGCAAACTATTTCAGACAAGGTATTTCCAATTGACAGAGAGATGGGGAAAGCTATCAATGACTCTCAGGAGAATTAATTTGGAATACTGGTCATCTCAAGAAAGAAGAATTGCCATGGGAATCAGTGCAAAGAAAGACTTAAGACCAGCCAGGAGACAAAAAACAATAGCACTGAAGCCCAGATTCATGCTGCTCAACTGCAGGCACTCCACAAAGACACATAAAAAAGGAACACAGTCACCAGGGTCTCCCGTAGTAAATGGAAGGAGATGGGTACCTCCAGTCATTCAGCCTACCTAAGTTCTGACTTGGCTTCTAAATTAGATGATTTATTTAAATACTTTAACTACAAAGGGAGCATATTGCTCTAGGGAATGTACATGGCACCCTGAAAAACAGAGGGTTAGAAAGAAACCAGCTGCTCTCAGAAGTGTAAACATCACAGAAGAGGTCAAGGTGAGGTTTAGCAGCAAGACAAACTGATATGTTCTAGGCACAAATAAATTTTCCTGATAAACAGAAGGCTGATGTTTGGAAATGGTTTTCCATATGTACATGGGAGGAATAAGATACTTGCCTAGAATTAAAATGCAGCTGAATGCGTTCATTTAAGAGGTTATAGGAAGGAGTAATATGAACGTCTGCTGAAAGAGTAAACATTTGGACTGGCAGATACAAAAAGTTCCTTTCTCATCTGTTTTGCTGTGCTGTTTTATTTGGATTTTTTGTTACAAATAGGACTAATCCTTTATACTGACATAAAAGGGATTTATTGAAAAGTTACATATGTTTTGAGAAAGAATTATTGGAAGGTGCTGCTGCCTTGTCATTCTCCATCTGCACGAAGGGGAAGGACTGAAAAATCTGTTTCCTGGGACCAGAATTGCTCAAGACCAAAATAAAAAACAGCTACAGCTGAACAATTGACCTACACTCAGCAAACTGAGCAAAATGCTTGCTGCCCAAGGCAAGGGAGGCCAGCTCTCCTAAGTGATGGGCAAATGCTTGGCAAGGTGCTGTTGGGAAGGAACAGAAATGCTATCAGCGTGCTCCCAGTTGTCACTGGCACAGGCAGTGTGTGCAGTAGGGTGTACAACTGATGGCAGGTTAGGCAAGCTAATGTCTTTCCATTTTATGGTTGTTGCAGCGATGGAAACTCATTGTCCATGGACCAGCCCCATGTGTAAGCCTGAAGTGCTCGAACCACGCAGTTAAAAGTGTCCCAGCAAATACAAACACGGACTATCGATCACAGCTGTGTATTGCCAAAAGGGTGGGAGAGCACAGCCTGGCAAACAGATAGAAGAGGACATGGGAATGTAAGCATAGAGGGATTTTGGCAGGAGCACTAGCAGAAATGAGACTGGAGCATTGTCTCCTGCTATTTAATCCTTCCTAATTTTCAGTGGAATGATCCTCTATGCACACTGACAAAAAATGATGTGGCAGAAACAGATAAATATTAGATTTTATTGCATGCTGCAGAATGCCTGTATCACAGTCCCCTAATTCTATGCAACTCTAGTATTTTGAAAAAAATTTGGAAGGATGAAAGTAATTTTGAATTTTATGTTTAAACCTGAGCCTGTGCCTAAAATTACATATATAATTCATTTCAGAATAGCAGAAAGTAGCTGGTTTTCCTGGGTAATTCTTAGCGTGAACTTGGTGGTTGATATTAGGAAACACAAAATTTTGCAAAAGACAGAGAACCAAGTGAATCAAGACTCAAACTGACAACATACAAGGCCTTAAGAGGCATGAAATACATGATTTTATAACACAGTTTTACAATAGCAATTACATTCATTATTCAAAGTCATTTGTTTGTTGTGGCTTGCCCCACAAGAAACAATAAACAAGAGACAAATATAGAGGTCCATACCTCTTTTGTTTAAAATAAGTGTTAATCCTTTTCCCAACAAAATCTTACTAGCTGTTGCAAAATGTTCACAAGGGCTTTATGTTTGTCAGAGTCGTATCTTTCTTTTTCCATGGGGTCTCAGTTGCTCTGTAATGCTGTTACTGTTAAGGAAAATGTTTGTGGTCAGTTGCTATTGGCAGTGACAGTCAAAGTTCAGGCAACCAAATTTAGACATGAAATTAATAATGGCATATGTACCAGAGAGGCTAAGTATGCATTGTTTCTTCATGACTTACCAGGAAAAATTCTTACTGAGGGCCAAGAAAGCTTAAGCATGAATAAATCATATATATGGAGTGAAGGATCTGCCTCAGAAAATGGATGTAAGTATCAGTACAACCTGGATAAAAAGAGACAAAATATCTGAACTACGAATGCAGTTGAAACTCCCTGCTGTGGAAAGCCAGGGTACTGTGCCACTGAGGATGTGCTCAGCTGTATAAACACACAGTATTTCATAAAGTCCACATATACTCTACTGCAGAAATTATTAATTTAAAAAGGATTGTAAATTTGTGTGCAATATATGCCTCTAGCAGCATACATATAGTATGAACAGTGCCAAGGCTGTGGAGAGGATTTATCTGTGATCACTAAGCACTTACCTGATTTGCACAGTCATGCTTCTGTCTCAGCAGGCAGGCTTGCTAAATCCATCTGCTCACCATAAATAATTGAACTTCTTTCCTGACTGCTTTCTTTTCCCTTCAAAATGTCCTCTGTGTGTCTACTCACACAGGGCTGCCAAATAATAGGGAAAAAGTATGAGTTCGTTTTGTGCCACCTTACAGCCTTGGACTTCAGCCACCTACAGACATCAAGAGCTTCCCTCAGTGTCTGAAGTTAATCCATCAGCTAAAACCAAACCTCCGTCAGGAACTAATAATAGTGACTCTAGTAGCGAGCCTGCCATCACATTTATTTTATTCTGGACTTGGGGTTCTTGAACGTGTTTGGACCACTACTTCCTGGCCAGGCTTCCAAAATATAAGCAAGAAGACAAGAGGTAAATAAAGTAAGAAATCTGAAAGGATGTCCAACATGGATGGTTGTATTTTTTGCTACGGCGTAATACTCCTGAAGTATTACATCAGGAACTGCTTAGTCCTCCAATATGTGTTCCACATTCAAAGGGAAAAGAGCTGCAGCTCTTGGCTGCTGCTGTCCATTAAAAATTCATGTCACTTGCAATCGTTATCTCAGAAATAAGAGGAGTTCTGTGAGAACTGATCAGATACGTCTTGCATGTACACCGGGAAGTACATGCATTCATCTGAGCACCTTCCCAGTGAAGACCTGACATGAGATTTCCCTTCTAAGCCTTATTTCTTCTCCCAAGACACAAGACTGGTTGCCCTACCTATGCAAAGGAAATGAGTTTCTTCTGCCTGCAGAGTCAAGTCAGCCCCCAAGCAAGCATTCCACTGTAGCAACTGTAGCCAGAATTGAGGGGGCTGCGGCTGTAATTTATCATAGGCAATTTATTTTCAGCAGTGTGACTACATGTCAGTGCTGACAGCATTTGTAGCATTAAGTGTTCCAGAGAGAGGATCATGGCGCTGCTTGGAGGCACGCACTCTGAAGGCCTGTCAGTCCTGGTAGGTCACTAAAAACACAGGCATTTTGCAGTATTTGTTCAGGGAATGCCTTAGCATGGCTCATTTTCCAAGTTTCGATGAGCTTGGGATCCTCCTCTGGGTTCAAAGACAGTCATGTCTTAAGGACCAGCAGAAAGGAAAAAGAAAATTCAAAGAATTTTGTATGCCAAGATACAGGAGCACTGTGTCAAAAGAGGAAGAAAATACACCCATATGAATCAAGGATCCATATGATTCCCTCAATTCTGACTTCTTTACAACATTTAATAGTGTACAGAGAGTATGTCTGGCCATGCCTCCAGTTGGTCATAAATTATGATGTCTTTAAAATAAACTGTGGCACACAAACGCTAAGCCATATAAACTGAGTCAGTCACATATGTATCAGCTGGGGTGAGGTTCTTAATTAGACCTTTTATTGGGGCCTTAGTCAGCATCAAGCTGCCTGTGCTCAAAGGCAGCTCTGCTGTGGTGCAGCTGAGTGACCTTGGATTAGAGCACTGCATGAAAAAGAGCTGTGAGAATTGAGGGCCACCTACTTCGCTCAAGAGCTGTGCCTACATTGAAGCACTCTCCCTTAGTCCTTGCCTCAGCTATGTTACGGGTATGAATGTGCCTAGCCACACACACATATACAGACCCTGAGCCAACTGAGATGGTCTTGGATCCTTCCCATCACCGTGAGCTTGTCTAATGATGACCAGACTGGTGGCTAGTTGGTCCTGGTTATTGGCACTGAACCTGACTCACTGGCTTGGCTTTTCTGGCTTGGCCTCAGATCTTCTTGTCACTGTGTTCACTGGGATGGTTACTGATGATCAGCACTCTCGACTGAACCTCTAGCCACCACCAGAACTGCTTTGCTATTCTTGTTTGGGTGCTGTGGTACTTGCTAGTGAAGCCACTGTCATGCAAGACTTACTAGCACCCTCCACTCCCAGTTTGCCTTGCTATTCCATAAAATATTTTTCTCCAAAGGATGTCACCTCTCACCTACCACTGGTACCATTGTTGCCACAGGGACCGTGACACTCCTGACACCAGTAGCTCCAGCACAAGCCAGACAATAGAAACATGGATTGCCAACACCATGTGACTCTCCTTTTAGCCAAAGATTTTTGTTAGAAAGCTGTCTTGAGCCAGCCTACTGGCGCCATGCATTCCTGCCAATAGGATAAATCAGGAGAATGGGCAAGAAGTCAGCAATCAAGACAGAGTCTGTTCTGTCACAGACAGACAGCAAAACCAAGCGGTGATACACAACTCCTCTTGTGTGACCTCACTTAACTGTTGGTCAAATAACCAGAGAATCTCAGCAACCTGGAGACATCATATTTCAAAAGCCCAAGTAAAATGCAAAGTGGTCACAAACCCAAAGTAGTCACAAGTTCTTTGTCACCTTTTGTAATTTATTCTAGTTGTCTACGTCTGGCAACAGCACTTCATATTTTAGCTGCTGATTTTTCCACTTCATCTGTGGCATTCTCTCCGCTCCCTCCCCAAGGCACCTCTGTAGCCGTGGAAAGGGGTTTTAACCCTTTAAGTGTGGCAGAAATAAGATGCACGGCTACATGGTCGTCTTTCATGACAGGAAGAAAGAGACAAGTTTATTCAGAAACACACTTGGTTTTATAACATGACTCGTAATTCCAAGAGTTGAGAAAAGGTGATTGGTTCAGAGAGAAGACACCCCATCCCCAGCGCCTGGTCACACACCACAACAGGTGTTCTATCCTTGTTATTAATTCCTTTTTATTTTGACCAAATGATCACCCTGGGAGAAATTCTCCCTAGCCTTGAGCTGGATCAGCTTATCAGCTGGGAACAGAGCTGAAAAGTTCCAGCCTGGAATATTTCTCAGGCTGTAATTTTCTTACTTTCTTAATATGTGTCCCACACACCTCTCCTGGTGGGACCATCTTAAGTATACAAGGGTATATTAATTCTTCCAGCTCTACCATGAGGTACCACTGGTGTTGCACCTGAGCTGCCACATGGACATGCACAGTACAGCACACTATTCAGACTGCCACACCGGCAAGGATTTCAGCATTAAACCAAACCTTTGCTGGTAGCCTCAGGCAGCAGTTGTGAGACATGGCTGTAAGCTACAAGACAAAAATTTCAGTTCTAGTGACGCCAGTCAGCCTGCACCCCAAAATCAATCTGTATGTTACGAGGGTGAACATACAGGAAATAGTCAGGACACGCTGCTCTTGCTCCAGTGGAGTTGGCATCTCACAACTCAAATACTCCCACCATACAAGTTTGCTTGGCTCCTACTGGGTGTTGTAATGTGTCCACTGCTACTCCCTTGTTCTAATAATGTCTTGTGTACCCAGAACAGTTTTGCCTTCTGCATTTAATTGCCACTCCTTTGCCAACTTACCTGGTGTCCTTTGCTCTAACATTTCATCCTGAAGGAGAAAAACTAGTGCCCTTCAGACATTTACGTGTTGTCCTGTATAGATGCACTACATACTGACTTCTGCCTTTTCTCTGCTCTTCTTAAACAGGATGCTAAAAGATCTGGCTAAGCCTTTACAGAAATTTGACCCTCCCATGCCCAGGGAATTGTCCACCAGGAGTCTCATGCTGTGCAGCAATGGAAAACACTGGGCTCAGGTACAGCCCAATGTACAGCTACCAATTTCTAGAAATAGACACTTCTAGCATTTTCCAACCCAGCATGCACAAATGGGTCACTAACTCCTTTGTTTCTCATGTGGCATATATATAGAGCATTGTTATGGAAGTTTACCTTTCTGGAAGTCACTGTAGATACATTTTGTACATAACAGAATTCAAGCAGTGTAATCACTATTGTGTCTTATGTAACCTTTCAGCACATTCTGCAAAACTTCCTTCCCTTCCTCAAACACTGCCGTTCTAATATGGCCTATCAGTGAACATTCACAGACATTCAGAGATCAGAAATGTAAATCAATCTCTGTTTGGTGGACAGGAAAGCTACTGTATTTCTATTAATCTATTTATTTAGTTATTTATTTGATATTTAGCAGAGAACATTAAAAATTAATTTTTGATAAAAATCCACTGGATTAAAAATACAAGTCTCTAAATCGGAAGATATAATTGACAAAACTGATTTCTGCTATGAAAGAGTAAGGCATCTATCCTGCATATCTGTTTTTTAGTGAGAAGGCACACTGCAGTTTTGGACTCAGTACAAGTAAGAAAGTACAAGTACTCAGAACAAGTACAAGACAAGGAGCTACTAGAGAAGGCCCAGTGGAGGCACACAAAGATCATTTGAGGTCTGGAGCTTCTCTTTTATGAAGGGAGACTGGAAGCTGGGCCTTTAGTCTAGTGAATACTGTGATGGGATCTCATTAATGCATATAAATATCTCAAAGGTGGGTGCCAAGAGGATGGTGCCAGACTCTTTCTCAGTGGTGCCCAGTGACAGGATGACAAGCAGTGGCAGTATGACTAACACACAAGTTCCCCCTCAACACGAAGAAGAACTTTAAGAACTTTACCAGTGGGGGTGTACTGGAACAGGCTGCCCAGGGAGATCGTGGATTCTCCCCTCAGGGGACATTCAAACCCCACCCGGACACGTTCCTGTGCCACCTGCTTCAGGTGATCCTGCCTTGGCAGGGGGTTGGACTGGATGATTTCCAGAGGTTCCTTCCAAAACAAACCGTTGTGTGATTTTGTGAACCGTTCTGGCGTTCCCCGCCTACACGGCGACCAGCGCGGGCGGCGGCCCCGCACACCCACAGAGCTGCACACGGCCCAGCCGACCCTGCCCTTCCCACTGGCAGTCGCGCACATGGCGCTGGGCCGGAAGCCGAGCCGAGCCGAGCCCAGCCGGCACGGAGGGACCCGGAGGGATCCGGCGGCACCCGCGGGGCCGCTTTGTCCCCCGCCCCACGCGGCCTCAGACGCCCCCAGCACCGCCCCTAGGTTGGCGCCTCGGCCCGCCGCTCCCGGCATGCACCGCGGCTCGGCGCGATAGGCGCTGCTGACGTCCCAACCCCGCCACTGGGCAGCTGCGCTCTGCGTCACGAGCTCGCGCCGCTGAGTCAGCGGCCCACCGTCGCAACGGCCGGCCATTGGCTGCAGCGGCGCGGGGCCCCGCCCCCGCAGCTCGGTGGGGCTATAAAAGTGGCTCCGGCGCCCCCTCCGCGCCTTTAGCCCCGGGTGTCTGAGAGGAGAAAGATGCATCGACTCCGCTCACGGGCCTCCACGGGGATTTCTGCCTTTGCCGCTAGTTCGCCCTCCGCCTGCTTTCGCCAATCACCCCCGCTGCCCCGGCCAGAGAAGTCAGCCTCGCAGAGGCGTTGGAGTAAAAAGGGCTCCTGCTCTTCCATCGGCTGATTGTCGCTGATTCCCGGGCGGGGGGGAGCAGAGAGACCGAGACCCGGAGAGGGGCCGCGGGAGCCGAGCCGAGCGCCGCTGCGACCATGCCCAAGCCTAAGAAGCGGGGGAGCAACCACCAGCGCGGAGCCGGTGAGTGCGGCTGGGCCGGCGGGTGAGGGCGCGGGGTCTAGAAGGCGTTTCCTGTGGCCGCGGAAGGGTCGCCCTGTCCGGCGGAGCCCCGCCTCCCCGCCGGCGGTGGTGAGCCACAGGACAGGCGGGCGCGGCCGCGGGGCTCTCGCTGGCCGGGCCGGGCCGGACGAGTGACAGGAGCCGTCCCTGAAACCGCCACCTCACGCCGCTGCGCGCATGCGCCGGGGAGCCGGGACTGGCGGGCGCGGCCGCGCTGGCGCCGCCGGCGGCGATGGGAGCGCCCCAGGGCAGCGGCGGCTCGGGCGACCCGGCCGCGGGTCCGCCCGCTGCACCACCGCCGGCTGCCGTGGCTGTGTGTCACCGTGCCGTGCCCCGAAAGGCTGCTGTGTCTTTAAAGATCCCCTTAGTCTCAGTCTAAAATAGGTTATTACAAAATAAGCAGTCTTCATACAAATGCCGAATGTGCGTGTCCGAGGTGGTGATGCTTGGGGCAGAACGGAGGTTTTGTGGGGTGGTGAGAAATTGCACTTAAGGCTAGCATAGCTGTGTGCAGCATCGGTTTCTAATACCAGTTCTTCAGGAAGTGAGCAATTTATAGGGTGTTAATGCAACTGCTCTTATTTTACTTTGTGAAGGGCTTGCTGTTTTTCTTGCCACTTCTGTTGAATCCCTGTTTGATATCAGCAGCGAGAAGGTGGCCCTGTGAGAGCTATGAGCTTCCAAGTTTGTTCGTTCCTGCATTAGCTGGTGGGGTTGTTTTTTGGTTTGGTTTTTTTGTTGTTGTTGTTTTTTTTTTTTTTTTTTTTTTTTGGGTGGTGGTTAATGATACAAGTGGATACAGCTATAAACAGCAAAACTTCCGGAGTGTGACTAATTTCAATGGAAAGCACTTGGACACTGATCCAACTGAAAGTTGATTCTGCCTAGATAAAAATAGTTTTTTGGGGTCTGGGTAATCAGGGAGTGTGCCTGAAGCTCGCACAAGTAAGCCCTGTGTGCAGCCTGCTAAATAATTTAGGAAAAAAAAATGGTGGAAAGAATAGAATTCAGAGTTCTGTAAATGATGTTTTGGGAACTGTTGGAGAAATAACTGATATAAAAAGGGAGGTAAGCACTGGTAAAAGTACTGCTTTCTTCAAAAAGTCTGAAGCTGCTGCACCAGGGCCTTCTTGGTCCTGAGAGGGAAAACTTCTATCCCCTGTTGAAGTATTTGATGTTCTGGCTTGTACTTGTAATTCAGTAGTAAAAGAGTTGGACATTGCTGATGGTGCACATACTACACTTAATCCCATAAATCCTGCATGGAACTGGGTAATGTATGTTTGCCTAGAAGCTGAACTTAGACTGTCTTGAAGTTCCTCAAAATTAAAACATAAAGACTGTGTGGCAGATTTTTTTAGGAGCTCATTATAACAATTAAATTAACATAGACCTATTTTTAAAGCATAGTCACAGAAAACTGCATTAACGTGAAGTTGATTGTAGAAAGATCCTAAATTTAGAGTAGGAATTTAGCCAATATCTAGAGTAGGAATTGGACCAGTATTAGGCGGGCCCTTGTTCACTATTCACAAGTGATCTTCTGGAACAGAGCTAACTAAGCCTTCAGAATAAGGGGGAGTAAGGTAACCAGCAGAGGATGGCTATGTTTTTTCTGTGGTTCGCTCAGGGAGAGCAAATCTTCTCTGGGAGGATTCAGTTCAACTTTTGGTGCTCAGATCTTTCTTTTCCATGTGAAAAATGACTAAACTATTGTATTCATCTTTCCTTAAGGTGGTCAGCCCAGAAATGTGCAGCCTTTTAGTGATGAAGATGCTTCAATTGAAACTATGAGCCACTGCAGTGGCTTCAGCGATCCTGCTAGCTTCACTGAGGATGGTAAATTCTTTTACTTATATCTATTCATCTTTTAGAAACCTAAAACCTGAGCTGACTTTAGTAATTTTAAGTAGTAGACTGTAAGTAGCAGTAATGAAATAATGACATTACATTAACACTGTGACGGTTAATCCAGTGGCTATTTGTTTGGTAGGAATATACTCCAGGTTTCATGAGCCTTGTGAAACTGTCAAGCTCTTTTCTATTAGAATAGACTATAGATGCAGAGACAATAAGATACAGAGTGCTGATATAGAAACAATATGAATTTTAAGGTGAATTATAAGACAGATTTTCATAACAGGTATTTGAAGTAGTAAGAACTGCAGAAGAGTTTAAGGTGGGAGGAGTCACATTTGTTTTGAGCTAGATTTGTGCTTTGTGTCCTTTACCATCGTTGCTTCCTGAGCTGCTCTAATATCATTTTGTTGAGAGGAGGGCACCTGAAAGCCGCTACAGGGGGATAAGCAGGGAGCCATCTCTGGATACATGCTACTCTTAACTGAGCTCCTGTTGCAGAGGTGTCTGAATTGATGCCGTATAGGACAGGCTGCTTTAACTCATTGCATCAGCTGTGAGCACCGCGCTGTGCTCCAGGGGTAGATGTAGTGGACTGGATGAAAATGTGTTGTTGAAAGGATTGGCTGATAGTCATCAGATGGAGAAAATTCATGTAAGATCTGATTTGCTCCCTCATTTATTCTTGGCATAGGTAAGAAGCAGATTTAGAAACAACACAAATGTATCCACAGGCCAGTTTTTATAAAAGTATTTTAAGGTGCAGTCTGATGTAGTAGTTTTAACACCATTATGCTGGTTTGATACTGCACAATTCTGTAGCTGTTGTCTTTGTTAAGCTGCTTTCTTATTAATGCTGAGAACATTGTCTGCTAATGAAATGTCTGTCAGTAGGACTAAATTGTTTCTTCTGGATTAGGGCCTGAAGTTGATGAAGAAGCCACTCAAGAAGACTTAGAATACAAGTTGAAGGGATTTATTGATCTTACATTGGACAAGAGGTATAGTCTGCTTTGAAGAAACACATTCATACATTTTCTCGTTTTTTATGATTTATTAAGGAAAATACACATCAAATGTTTTTCTATGTTTGAGATTTTTACTCTGGGGATGACTTCTGGATCTAGAAAACCTTTTTTCCTTCTCCTGATTTTTTTTCTTAGGATGGGTTAGACTTTCCTAAAATATTGAAATAGAGTGACTTTGTTTCTGACCTGCAATACTACTGTAAACTGAGTGTCCTTGAGTAAGGAGGCAATTCAGAGCATTTCATTTCTTCATGGTACTTCTGTGGATTACTGTACTGTTGGGTGGAGACAAATATAAACCGCCATAAAGCAAGGGTGGAAGTTAGCTGATACGTGCTGATTTCAGGAGGTCTTCTTTCTCTCTTCTGACAGTGCAAAGACAAGACAAGCAGCCCTTGAAAGTCTGAAAAGTGCATTTTCTTCTAAAATACTATATGAATTTATCATGGAAAGGAGAATGACTCTAACTGATAGCATTGAGCGCTGCATAAAGAAAGGTAATGAACATGCATGCTATTAGAAAGTAATAATCCCTATGAAATAGCACATTGTTTAAAAGAAATTAACATTGTGAATGTTCTCTCGTACTTTACAGAGTGCATAATAATCTAGGTACCATTACTTTTAAAATTCAGGTGTCACTTTTAACTATCCTAGGAAATTAACTGAAATTAGTTTCTATCTGTTGGTTTCTGAATTTCCACTTACATGTTTTCAGGCTGTTATCTTTAAAAGATTAAAGGAGGAAAGCAGTGCAAAAGGTGATTGCTCATCACTGTGTTAATCCCTAGGTAAGAGCGATGAACAGTGTGCAGCTGCTGGACTGGCGTGTCTTCTGTGTGTGCAGATGGGGTCAGGAATTGAGAGTGAGGAGGTTTTTAAGACCCTTGGTCCAGTTCTGAAGAAGATTGTCTGTGATGGAACAGCCAGTATCCAAGCCAGACAAGCTGTAAGTATGAGAAATGTTTATATTTGCCAGCAGGGACAGAGGGCTGCTTTTGGCCAGCTCACTATTGTGTAATCCAGGACTAAAGGTTACCACACTAGTGTGTACTCATGATGTTGACATATGCCGCGAATGATGTGTGGCAGTTTTCACTGGCTTAAAAAGTTCTACCTGAAGGTTGAACATGGTTCTCTTCTTCAGCTGTTACATGTGCTGCATTGTCCAGTGTCTGAATTCACTGTATTGCAGCTTCCTTACTGCAGTTTTGGGGTCCTAGAGAAAGTTTTCCCACTGAGTGATGTATGCTTCCTGTATTAA